TGACCCAAATGATTGCACCAACCGGGTGAACACTCCGGGGGTTGAACCGGACTCAACGAGCCTGGTGTGAGATAGAAGCAGGAGGATGAACTTCAGGGTCGCTGCTGGAGGTGAAGATGAAAAGTCGCATTATTTTTTATCTAATCAGGCAGCTGCTGTCTGGTTAACCAACAGAACAAAAGTAAAACTCCACACCTGACAGCTCAAACTGCTGCGCTGATAAGGCTCCAAACTGCCCGCTGATAAGGCTTTAAATGTGTTCCCTGTTTACCCACAATGCCAAGCGGCGTTATCAGTCAAACAGAGGAGCGGTTTCCTGCTTCCTGCAGGGATCAATCCCTCTGACCAGGAGGAAGGAAGCTCCTTATATGGGCATCAGGTGTGTGTGAAGATTAAACGTAGAACACAGTTCAGCTTCATTGTTCCACTGAAAGTAATTATTGGTTAAATTCAGAATCCATTAACTGGTAACCATGGTTACGATCAATGTCACTTGCAATCACATGCATGGCTGCCAAAAGCTCATCTCACTGGCAAAAGCCGTCTTTACTCATTTGGACTCTGGTCTTGACTTGAACTCGACTACGTCCTGGTCCTTGACTACAGCAATGCCCAGACCCCCATCCAACACAGAGACCCCCAGACCCCCAGACCCCCATCCAACACCCAGACCCCCAGACCCCCAGACCCCCCATCCAACACCCAGACCCCCAGACCCCCAGACCCCCCATCCAACACCCAGACCCCCAGACCCCCAGACCCCCATCCAACACCCAGACCTCCAGATCCCCAGACCCCCAGACCCCCATCCAACACCCAGACCTCCAGACCCCCAGACCCCCATCCAACACCCAGACCCCCAGACCCCCATCCAACACCCAGACCCCCAGACCCCCATCCAACACTAACTTTATCATTGCTGCACAAAAACACAACTTTACGTCCTCCCAGCAGCACCAAGTATTCCCTGTCGTCATACTGGGCTCTGTCGGGATCTGGTGCTGTATTCGGACTGTTGAACCAGCAGTTTTATGGAGAACCTAACTATAATACTAATATAATAGTAATAACTATATGTAGGTCATATAGAGGCAGCAGCTTTATAATGTGATACAGAGAATGAGGTTAACGTATTAACAGTGACAGTTGTGTGCTGGTTGACAGGAAGTAGCTGTAGAGTCGATCCACCTGTGACTGATAATAACAACCACACTTTATTTTTAACTGCTGCAGCTGAAGGAAATCAGACATGTTATTTATAAAGTACACTGTTTAATTATAGATTATTGATTGAATCAGCTCCACATAGAACATAGCTCTAGAGTTTATACTTTGTTATTGATTATAGATTATAGATTTAAGTACGTATCCCTGAATATCCTCACAGGGTTGTGTTGGTTGCTGCAGTCGTAGTATTTATCTGTACTTCAGTCAAACTGTCTGATGTTGCACCAGCGTCCTCTCTCTTTGATCTCAGGTGAGACACACCTGAGATTGCTGTAATCCAACACACACACACACACACACTTCCCGCCCAGTTTATAGCAGTTTGGACATCTAATCTGCACACACTCATTATAAAGATAAGATTGTATTCAAACAATAGAAACATTTTCTCCAGACGTGATGATCACCAGCACAGCTGTATGTAGCTAACAGCTAACAGCTAGGAGGAGGGTCAGAGGATGTTGTCAGAGATAGAATATAATGTTGATAGGTATGTTTTCATTATAATCATCTGAAAATAAGAATTGTTACCTTAGAATGAGCTGTCTTTATCTACAGAGGGAGCCAGTTGCTTTATATGGAGTACACCATGTTTCTACAGAAGCCCAGAAGGGACAAACCAAACACTGACTCTCGACTGGAGATGTGTAGTTTCAGTTCTTGAAACTCATGATGGTCAGTTTGGTGTTTTTATACAGTAATATTATAGCAAAAAATAACTTATAAATTAACCCTCTTTAAGTTCATTTAACTTATATTTTAGATGTTTTTTGTTTGTTTGTTTATCTTGTTTTGATTATTTGTTTGTTTCTTCTCTCTTTTCCGTTTATATTTGCTGCTTGGATGGATTCATTGTTAGGTATGTTTGACATCCATTGATGATGCCTGTTTGTTATTAAAGAAGCTTAATTCTCATTCCCAGGTCGTCCAATACAGACGCGAGCTGTATTCATCTGGTTGAAATCTGCAACTTAACGGCTAGATGCTACTAAATCCTACACACGGGTCTTTTAACTAATGTGAGGAAGACTCAAACTGTACAGTAACTGTTAAAGTGTAACAGGACAGTGAATCTGTGGTTTCTGCTCACATTCACAGGGAGGAAAAATCTTATCAAATAACACACACAGTCTGTGGATTCTTTAGAAGTGAGTAATTCCTGGGAAAAACATCTGACAGGAAGTGTGTGTGTGTGTGTGTGTGTGTGTGCATGTTACAGTGTGTGTCTGTGTGTGTGTGTGTGTGTGTGTTACAGTGTGTGTGTTATCTCAAACCTCGGACTGACTCAGTGTGTGTGAGCTCTAACTAATAAAAAACAATCTGATTTTCAAACTGTTGTTTTCTTTATTGAGAAGTAAACAAGTCAAAGTTTCCGCTGGTCATACACAACCCCCCCGCCCACCCCTCAGTGGCTCTATGACCCCTTCAGGGTGAGCGGCGTCCTTTTTCCAGCATCAGCACGGCTGAAATGATAAATTATAACAGCAAGCAAGCTGATGTCTTACTATAGTAGACGTTTTATAAAGTTCAATCAACTTTGTATGAAAAACGTGAACAGCTGAAACGGTTCCGGTTACATCCCGCTGAATGTGACAACGCTACCCCCTGCTGTTGTAAATGTGTACCTGTGAACAGTAAGAGGGGATTGATGGAGATTGACCGTAAATGAGGACTATTAGGTATAATATTAGATTGAGGGTCTACTGCAAACCAGAACCAGAACCTCAGAACATTTGCTATGGGACCATAAAGCAAAAATATGATTCATTTAAAAGCAAAATGAAAATTGCATACACGTTTGCTTTCTACTAGCCCAGAGCGATGTCACTCTTTTACCCTCAAAACATTTTATTGTCACTGACACAACATATTTCACTTTCTCCAGCAAATTCATTGCAAAAAATGTTTAAAAACATAAAAATGTCACAGAAAATCTGCCATGAATTTAAAAATTTGGCCAAAATAGTCCAAAAAAAAAAGCCCACCAAATCCTGACACAGTGAATCCCATTTGTACAATTCCTCTCTGTGGACTCGTTGGAGACCCTGTCCCTAGTGTGCTCTCTAGTAAGGTCAATTGATTCAGAGCTCTACTTTGAAGAAAACAAAAAAAATGAGTTCAAAATAGATTCAGATAATAAAAGATGAAGACGAATAAATCAGCAGAAACACGTGGCAAACAAAACAAACCCAAAGAACATTTGAGTTGATTGAAAAGCAGAAATGAAACGATCAGTCTTCCACAGGATTTAAAAATACCAAGAGGAAGAGAAGAAGGTGACATCAACTGTTCCACAATCAGCCACAGAAAACAATCAGAGTTGTATCTGGAGATTGGGACATTGTCTGATACATGAACAGTCTCACTCGTGGCTCTTTTCTCTGCTCCATTTACTTTACACACTCAGTCAGTTTTTGCTGCTTGTTTCTCTGAAGAGCTAAATTCACTTTTTTACGCATTGAAATGCATTTATTTATTGAAAGTTTACTCAAAATGTGTATTTAACTGTGCACTTCATTGTTAAGGACTTAACATAACAAACACCAACACTTTTTTGTTTGTTTGGGTTACGTCTCTGAAGTCTGTGAAGCAAAAACGCTGCTAATATTCAGATAAAAGCTTAAAATAAACCCCTCACAAGTAGAGGAAATCCCGCGGGAATGGGCTGTTTTGACTTTGCTGCAGGAACGGGCGGTCAAAAAATAACAGAAGGATGGAGCTGAAAAGAAGATTAAACCCCATTTTTAAAAAACAACCGCAAAGCAAAGCAAGTCTGGCATTTGGAGACGTTTCTCGTTCGTTATTGACACAGTAAAATTCAAATTAATTCAACGTTTTTTCGCCAGCGGGACAAGATACAAAATCTCCACAACACGACACGTTGTTATGGATACAACCTGGGTAGCAGTCAGTTGACCGTCAATGATCTGCCAGGGGTGTAAACCAATTATTCTTGGCTAGAATTCTTAAGAGCAGCATAAAAATCTAGAAACTGGCAGCCCTTGAAAGGGCCTTAAAACTAGAAAAAATAATACTTTTCTAATCTCTTTTTAGACAAAAGATAAAACTGATTTAAGACATTTTTACTTTCTTGACATTTCTTTTTGCAGCGCACGAGTGGGAGAAGTTTTCTGCCATAAAGGTTTTCTATTGTGCAGTTTTTTTTACGAAGTTTAGTTTCCTTTTGTAAAAATAATCAAACTCTAACTGAAAACTGAAGATTTTAAAACAACTGAAAAAATGACACATTAATGTATCCACCACAATTTCTACACATAAAACTTTTTTTAGGGACTTGGCCAATCCTAGTACTTGAAGGCAACACAAGAAAAGCAGTGGGAGTCATAATTACGCCAACACATCCGAGCCAGTAGACGTCTAGGGTAACAGTCAGAGGGGATGTTTCTAAAAATAACAGCACAAATGGAGATTTTAAAAACAGAATAAAATCGGGCCTAAACTGGCTCCCTGTGGTACTCCGCAGGAAACTGCTGCAGAAGAGGAAGTTTGTAATCCAAATAGGAACTCTCTGTCTTGTGGGTTAGACATAAACCACTGCAAAACCTGACTCATAGTGACTCATAATGATAGACAGACACCAAAACATCACCTTCAACTGCAGCACAGCAGCAGCTGAGACTCATGGGATATGTTTTCTTCTGCCGACAACGTTATTGCTTTATCTACACTGTTACTACTCGAGCAGTAGATAGCGTCTAATTTTTAGCTTTTCAAAAAGGCTGATCTTAGAAAAAAACACAAGAGAATCAAAATTTTCTTAAAAATGTAAAAAGTTTATTTGGCAAACATCATTAAAAACACTTAATGCCACAAAATCCCTGACACTGCAGCGTTAACATACAAGGCAAAAATAAAAGCTCGTAAAGATTTCCAGTCAGCAGTCCCACTGATCAGATCAGTTCGTACATCGAGAAAAGTCTGAGGTTCCCCTCATATCAGTACCGCATCGTCTTCGTCACAGTGGTTCTCCTTCTCTTAGCTAATCCCAAACTGCTCTCAGTAGCCAGTTTACTACAGTGCTACTCCTGTTCGCCGTCCACGTCACAGCAAATAAAATCATTCCTACTGTTTTACAAATCATACATATCAAATCATGAGTTTGTGGATTAAAATAATTCTATCAAGGTGCAGAAATGTTTCGGATTGTCTTATCCATTGTTTCTATTTCTACAGCTTTTCTATGAGAACCATCGGAGAATGAGCCCAAACAGGAGCTGGTCCCAAAACACAGATATAACCAGATGTTAGTGACACCAACAGCTCATCTTCTGAGGAGGAATGAGCTGCTTCCGTTTCCCCACTGACTGACCCTTTCCCACTAAAGAATCCAGAAACCACAGGAAATGTACATTCAAGCAACCAGGAACTTTTTTTTAACTGACAGTGATTTTAGAGGGGATGAAGTGCCTGGAAATGGCCCCGGGGCCGGAAGTTTGAGGTCCCTGTTTTAGAGAGACTAAAGACTAAAGAAATTGTTTCAAAATGAACATGTAAAAAATGTCAATCATCTATAGTTTGAAGGCTTTATGCTCACAGGGATTACTTTTACATATGAACCCACCTACTTTAAGCCAATTAGGAAAGGAAGGACAAAAACATAAATTCAGAATACAAAAATACAAAAAGCGTGTTAGTGAAGGATCCCATTGCTCGTACAGAAGCGGGAGGCTGGTTGAAAAAGGCTGTAATTGGGCTTTCAAAATGGTTAGTCATACTTTTTTGGAAGAAAAAAGGACTACCCAATCAGTGCGTTATATCATTATCTATCGAACTGATGACTGGAGTTAAAAAAATAAAAGGCAAATTGTAATAAACCATAGTTTTCCTTTGAGATTCTCGTTAACCCTCACTGTAAAACTGTGAACATCATCAACTTAAAAATTAGACCTTGGCCACAGAGACTTTTTTCTGAGGTAGGAACTGTAGCCGAGGAATTCAACCAGAACAAGGTTCCTGCTGTGTAAAAGTTCCTGGGTTCTTGGAAATAGTTCTGGAAAAGGTTCTTATGGTGGAAAAGGGTCTGAAGTGATGATCTATTATCAGACTGCCAAGCCACCAACACACTTTGGAGGCTAACAGATGTGATGTTTGAAAACTGGCAAATCTGCATTCACGTCACATCAAGTACAAATTCGAATGAATGGTGAACACGTCTTTGGAAAGTCTACAGATTCCGGTTAAGATGCTCCGTCCTTTCAAATCAAGCAGACCCAGCTGCAGTTAATCACTAGTGGAAGGACAATGTAATGAGTGAAAGGCAATGTTTATTATTTGATCTCTTAGTCCCACGTTTATCCAGACGAATCTCCTCAACTACCGGCCCGATTGAGATAATCGCTGGTGTATTCAAAGTCTGATGTGCTATCCCCCGAAGTCAGGACAAACTTTACATTTTTGGCTTGACTAACTGGAAAGCATTAAGGCCGGGCTATGTTTAAAAGTTCACATGTTGTCATATAATTACAACGTCAGAAGCCTCCCGGCATTGGAACATCTCTAACCTCCAATATTCACAGCAGTGATATTATATTATATATATATTATATATATTATATGTGATAAATTCTGCACATTTATGACGGCAAACCAAAGAATTTGGAGACGACAAAGAGAAAGTCAACTGCACTAATCTCAATGTCCGCTTGTTGTAGATCTGACATGACGTGAATGCAGCTCGAGCAGACGATTTTTACACCATCTTTTCTTGGATCAACCAACTAAAAGGTTTTTTATTATTTTTACAACAACACAAAAAAACCAGCTTTTTTTCAAACGAGAGTAAAAAAAAAAAAAAAAAAAAAAACCCAATAACTGAGGTTAAACAAAGAAATATTCGCTACAGGTTTGTTCAGTAGTTCTTTTGAAATATGGACCAAAACACTTTTGTCTCCCTGTATCGTTCCAGTTCTGCTGACGAAGCATTGAGTTAATTTGGCTGCAACATGTTTTTGATCTGCTTGGAGGTAGCCTCATCGTTCAGATGTTTGGTCGTATACCTGCAGGGACGGAGGGGGCGGTTTAACAATAGTTAAAAAATAACAATTACAACATCAGGTCAGAAAAGAACCAGGTTACTGATGGAGTTGAGTAAATGTAAGAAAAGTCAAAAGTGGAGTGAGGAGGCTGTCAGACCTGAGAGCGTTGAGTAATCCCTCCACACTGCTGGGCGGCTGCTCCTTCAGCACTCTGATGCAGCCTTTCATCTGAAAAAGACCAAATAACAGAGTTAACTGAGTGGAAACCACTGGGTCTTACTATCTTACTGGGTTCAGCTTTGGTAAAGCTCCTTTTAAAGAGACAACCCAGTCCTAAGCAGCCTTTGGAGTGGGTCCATTTTGAGTTTTCATTATATAGGTGGTATTATATATAGGCTGGCTGGCATTTCCTTCTGTCTCTATGCTGATGATGCTCAGCTATACATGCCAGTAAATGGTAAATGGACATGTACTTGTATAGCGCCTGTGTACCTTTCACACACAGAAACTAACATTCATAGACCGATGCGAGCAATTTGGGGTTCAGTATCTTGCTCAAGGATACTTCGACGTGTGGCACCAGGAGCCGGGGATCGAACCCACAACCTTGTGATTAAGGAACAACCTGCTCTGCCTCTGAGCCACAGCCGCCCCAGTAAAGTCTTAACACTTTGCCACCTTGCCTACCATTAAATACTGTGTAATACGCATTAAGAAAAATTTTATTAAAGAGAGCCTGCAGTGCCATAATAAATACTCTGGTCTTTAGCTCCAGGGCCCGGTTAATACCTGGTTTCTGTACCATCTGTACATAAAATTATTTTTCTTACTCATCGTGTTTCAGGTCATCTTTTGCGAAGTGTTTATTCTTTATTGTCCCAAGAGAGAAATTAATTTCACTCAGATCAGTACCATAGTAACAGACACACAACAATAAATAAAGATATATATTTATATCATGATGACGATGAAAATACAATTTATCGGTCAGCAGGAACCTGTTAGCTGTTTCTGTGTCGAGGTGTAAGACTAAAAGAGCTAAAGGAGCTTTTACTGTAAGAAAACTTCAATCCGGGAACAACCTTCTCAACAAACTCTTCTTTTAACTTTTGAAAACTTATTTTCAGGCTTTGTTTTGTCAGTGTTTAATCCTGGAACTTCAATCTAATCAAAGTTAGAGTTTGGGAGAAAACATTGCCTTCAGTGTTATTTATTGACACTCAAAGCTAATCTGCTTCATAAGAACTGTGTGGGTGTGGATTGATCAGAATTAACTGATGGAGGCATTTCCCTGGGGACATCATCTATTTCCATCAAAGTGAGAAAACCAGTGAGGAAAAACTCTAAATCTGTCCTGTGAAAGAACTTATCATATATTGAACTCACATCACTTGAAATAGCAAAACATTAAGGAAAGCTGAAACTGTGTGTTGTGTGTGTGTGTGTGTGTGTGTGTGTGTGTGTGTGTGTGTGTGGTCTTGCTAACGTACGTCTATATTGGAGGTCTTAACGAAGGCTCCGGCAGGGTGAACGTGGTCGTACAGGATGATGACACCGACCATCACACGGAGGCAGAACAACACCGTCTCCTCACTGGCAAAACGACTGCGATACTCCCTGCACACACACACACACACACACACACACACACACACACACACACACACACACACAGTGTTGGTTCATGCCTGAGGCTGGTGGCTATGATGATGCGTTCAGGAACATGTCAGTTGTTGACTCACGGCGTTTCCAGCATCACTTTACACACACTGGCCATCGTACTCAGACAGTCTGTTGTGTTTTCAATCGGGACGTCTGGGTTCTGCACAACAACAACAGGACAATAAAGTTTCATTCAATGCACACAGGAAGTAAACAAATGGCACATGGCAGATGATTCACATTAGAAAGAAAAACATACAGACAGGAGACATTTTGTGTATAGAGGAAGTACTTTTCCTTGTTATAGTGTAAAACTACTTCATAACAAGAAACAGTACTGCATTTAAAATGTAAAAGTACATAAATATTATAAAAATACACTTGACGACAACAAAATATATGAAATTAAATCAGAATCGGGTGGTTCCTCAAGTAGTAAATAAAAATAATATGAACATTAAAATATGTGCATTATATTACAATATATATGAATATCTATAGAAAATAATAACAACTGTGTAAAAATATGTACATGTAAATTGTTCTTCAATATATAACAACAACATATAAAATTGAATATAATATATAATAATAATAAATAAATATGTATTTCAGTACCAAACTGCAAAAAATAAACTACAATACAATAGTCTAGGAACTTTATAAATGTAACTGAATGTAATTTGTTGCAATAGAGTTCATATTAACATATAAGTATTAAGTAAAGAAAATATTGTTACAGATTGTTTTAATAACATGAAGCCACTGTGTCCATAAAGAAATAATTTCTCACTGCAGTCTCGATGTTTAAACACAAAACAGGAAACTTCAACTTCAGGGTTCATTATTTTAACTTCCCCTCAGCGTTTGCATCCACAGAATAGACACAGTGAGGGCGACGTCTGCTGGTGGCTTGTGAAAGAACAACAGTCTGCAGTGCTACAGTGACCCCTTCAGGCTGAACTGTTTATTACACCTACAATGTGAAGAAACTAACTGATCCATGTTTGTGTCTTCCTGTTGTTTATTGCATAAATAACTAGAACTACTGCCCTGCTCTTGTATACCTCCACCAACCAGTTAAGATACAGTTTACATCCATGCCTGTGCCGACTCATATAATATATGTACAGTAAATATTTGGAAGTTACCATTACATTGATGATAGCTGTACAGAATGTGGTGCCTCTCTCTGCACAGCCTCACAATATTGTCCCTTTAACTTCATTGTTGTAGAAGAACTGTTCATACACAAACACATCATGTTGGTGATTACAAAGATCAGCTAGTATTAGAAACGAATGGAGGAGCAGACTTGTTGCACTTCTGATACAAACGACTCCTTTGTGAGTACCAGGCTTAGAGGATGGAGATATTGTGTTGTCCCAGTCAACATTTGACCCGTTCATGTTTAAATTATGGCTTACCCATTTTGAGGTCATAGTGACGTCAGTGTCCGACCAACTGTGAAATATGGTTATTGAATCTTGAGTTAAGGGATCACATTTATTGACCACCAAAGTATTATAATCAGTTCATCATTGAATCAAAGACAACTGTGAACCTATCGTCACCCATCGGTTTTGTCCCATTTTGAAGCCTCTAGTTTGGCGTTATTTTTTAGTCAGAGCCAGCGGAGGTCACGTACAGCGAGTTGAGCTGCTCTCATTGGCTGCTCTTGGTTTAGAAACAATGGCGGCTCAACTGCTCACACAGCATCTGGTATTCCAGATAAACAGCAAAATGTTTGTGAACAGATTTGAGGAGAGAAATAGTCAACAACAGAATCTGGATCCATATCTGATCAGCACTGTTTGACAGTTTGATCTGAGTTTGGTGCGTTGAGCTGGACGGACTCACTGAGAATGAGCTGTCAATCACAAGGTAGCCCCGCCCTAAAGCATACCCTGCTTTATGGTCTGTTTTACTCTAAATGGGACCATCAGTTACTAAATGAACATCATGCTGTATGGAAGAAGACTGAAACTAGAGACTGAGACCAGAAACTCATCAGGAAACTGTTTACTGAGCTCATAAATCAACTGAGAAGTCTGCTCATTTCTCCATTAGAGTGAGTGATCAGATCAGATCAAAAATCTGTAAACGAACTCACATCTGAGACGAACTTTGACGTGGCGTCACTTAGAGTCTTCAGCATCGGCGTGGCGCTGGCGTAAAACAGAGACATCCGATTGGCCAGCTCGTTGTTGACCTCATTTCCAGCGTCGGCCTGAAAAAAACAACAGGTTGCCATGGAAACCCGTTCAATGATCAGCCTAATGTTGTATACTGTGACAATATTTTGTCAACCTTTTAAGACGACCATATTGATCTAATAATACATTTTTATCAAAGTTTATAAAAGTAGTTTCAGATTTGAGGACTCAACATTAAAAATGTGTCTGGAACTTTATTTTAAATTCTAGAAGTTTCCAAAGTTTCTCGGTATATGTCTACATTTAGTGTAAATGTGTTTAATATGATGCAGTGATGGAAGACTTACCGACAGGTTGTTGATTCGCATGCGGCTGATGGTTCGGCGATAGTAGCTGAAGTCGTTCTGGATGGCCGGGTTGGTCATCTGGAACAAAGAGCATGTGAACAGGACAATTGAGGAAGTTCAGATCCTTTATTGAAGAGTGAGGTCAATGAAGACAAGAAGAAGAAGAAAGAGGAGGAGGAGGAGGAGGAGGAGGGGTAGATGAGGAGTGGAAGAGGTAAAGAGGAGCTGACCTTGAGCTCGTCGAAGCGCAGCGTGAAGTGCATGATGTGGGCGAACTGACGAGCCAGAGCCTGTTTCTGCTCCAGATGCTGAGTGGGAGTCGAAGCGGAGGTGGTGAGGACGTCCAGGAGACACCGCAGACTGGACTCTGAGGGGAGGGGGAGGACGGGGGGAGACACAGATGGGTATGTTTTCTTTATCCATTTCTTTCATTTCAAAATAAAAGAACACATTTCCCAAATATGTAAAGGGATGGGAAATCATTCTTACCAAGCTTCTGGGAGAACTCGTAGAAGGTTTTGAGTTTAGCGACCAAAGGAACCACAGCTGACCAGGCTTTCTCCTGCACACCCTCCACACCAGGACTCTGGATGGCCTGAACACACACAAAGAAAACATTTATATAAATCACCTGTACATGTACTGTACGTCCTACAGAGACTTATAGACTATAGACTTATAGTTGTACATAAAGTCAAGTTACAGAGGACAGGACAGATAGAGGACACACTGTGCTGTAGATACAGGGCAGAGGTCTGTACTGTCTCTTTGATTAATATAATAGTAACAATAATGATATTATTAATAACTTTATTTCATAAGTTCCTTTCATAATGTTTGGCAAATTGGCTGCACACAGCAGTCCCCCAATCAAATCTTTGAGCCGTACGTCACCAAAGTACTAGTGATTTTAAATGTTGCCTTTTGATTTTTAATGCTATTGGCATTGCAATGTTTTAGAAACGCTGCCATGAAATGAGGCATTTTTAGATTTTCAGAAATCTCAAATAAAAAGCCTGTGAAATTCCAAGGGACTGATATCCCCTTTGTGCCTGCGTCAGTGTTGTGGTTGTCTGCCAGAAGATGTCCTACATTGACTGTTGATCCAGTCTGAAGCCACATTGTTACCATCCACTGTTTAGATCTTGGTGCTTTTTAACTCTAGATTTGAACCGGATGAAGGATTTTAGTCATCGGACGTCTGGATCTTAAGTTATCAGAGAAACAAGCTGAGCTAACGTTAGCAGCAGCTCGGCTCGCAGCCCCTCCGGGACGTCCTTTGTCTGTCCAACAGCGTGGGAGAAGCAGTGATTGTTAAGGTGGAACTGCTTAATTCAGTGTGTTTAAGGTGGAACTGCTTTATTCAGTGTGTTTAGTGGTTTTAATCAGCGGGTCTGTTTGTGTTGGAGAGGAGGAGACCTCTGTGGATCATTGGGCTCCCGGTAGAAACCTCCTGAACCATGAACACTGAAGGAATCCTAACCGGGAGAAGCTGACTGCAATGACGCCAATGGTGGTGAAGACAACACGTCTAAAGGTTTGTGCCTCTTAAAGGGAAGTTTTATTAGGAGTACAAGAACTTCTGTTATGATTTGCCACTAAACAAATGAAATTGAATTGAACTGAATGATCCCACGCTACTTCACCATGTCGTCAAACTTCCCCTTTTGTTATTGTTTTAATGTGAGAGACCCCCTTGTGGCAGAAATTACATATTGTACGTTTAAAGTAACTAAATCTGATAAATGTGGTGGAGTAGAAGCAGAAAGTGGCAAGAAAAGACTCAAGTTCCTCCATTAATGTACTCACCTGTCGTATTTCCTCTCCTGCTCCTCTGTACGCCTGCAGGTCGTCCAGGATGACCCGAGCCTCCGTCAGCACCTGGTTCACCTTCTCCCAGACCGCCGTCTCCGACTGTGAGGGCTGAGCATCTGCAGGCAAAGGTCAAAGGTCAAACACACAACAGTCTTTGCTGTCTCTCTCTGGTTAACATGTGTTTAATGTGTATCTTACTCTCAAAGTCCAAGAAGAAGTTTCCACCATTGTTGTCGATGTCTCTCGTTAACACCTTGATCAGGTTCCCCATGCTGCCAAAACACAGTTTGAACTGTTTCAATAACTGATCAATGGAAAGTCACACAGAACTGATTCATTGATCCGAATCCAGTTTGAAAAACGTCTTCTATTTTTACAGTACAGAGGACTGATGGAGAGCGTCACCTGAAGCTCAGTATCAGTAAAAACCCACTGAGCTGGTGGACTACCGATCTTCAGATTAGGATGTTGCTGCAAAGAAAAACTACTAATGCTGAACTGGTTAGGAATATAAGAATGTTTGACATAAAGCCACATTTCATCAGGGTGTAACATTTCATACAATTCTACCGTCAACAGACAGATACAGGGCATAGGTCACTGCTGTAGATACAGGGCAGAGGTCACTGCTGTAGATACAGGGCAGAGGTCTGTGAAGGGAAGTGTGTTTTGCAGAACATTTTGATGTCACAGTGAAGTCGACCTTTGACCTTGACTTTTAAAGGTGTAGTGTGTAGGATTTAGTGCCATCAGACCGCAACTCCCCCAGTTCACCTTCCCCGTCCAAGTGTGTAGGAAAAACAGACTACAGCGGTCGCAAAACACACAAAAAACGTGAATAGCCCAATCTACAGCCAGTGTTTTGATTGTCCTTTCTGGGCTGCTGTAGAAACATGGTGACCCAACATGGCGAACATGGCGGTCTGTAGATAAAAACTGTTCATTCTAAGGGAACAAGTATTCTTATTTTCAGGTGATTATACACTAATGAAAACATATCTATGATTATTATATTGCATTTCTGACAATAGATCCTCCTCAGTGTTACACACTGGACCTTTAAACACTTATTTATTTCAGAATATGCATCTATAACACGTGCTATCACTCTAAATATATATATTTGGTTTACTATCACTCATTAAATATGTAGTAACAAGATTTTTTAAGTGTCTGAAACTTTCTCAAATTCCATTAAAACAGCGAAACACCCTTTAAAAACTGAAGTGAAGCTACACTGATACAGTAAGTTGGAAATTAATTCATAACTTTTTGTATAGTATAGTTGTATTTTGCATATTGTCACAAAATCCCACAGCACAGCGTTTGGGAAGCACAGATCTGACTGCTGACACAAGAGGACAGGTAGATACTACAGGACCTGCAACAAACCTCACTTACACAAACTCTGTTTGTTCAAACTTACTTCAAACCCACAGAACTTTATTTAAATTCTAGTAGAGAACTCAGAAAAACCAAACATGTCAGCTGAATTTTAGGGAAATGTGTCTGTAATGATGCCGCAGACACGTACAAGACTTCCATTCGATTGCAGTAAAAAACATGGAGTCTGTGGTTTGAATAACAAACACGATCAACTGAATATGAACAAGCTTAAAGTTTACTTACTGTGACTGTGAGCGTGGAGGGAAAACTGTCAATTAAAGCTTTAACTTTCGGCAAATAAACGAAAATGAAATTAAAGTTTGCTGCTCTTCAGACTGACGCAGCTTTGTTGAGTTTGTCGAGCTGCAAACTGAACTGGAAGCAGCGTCTTCTCGTTAAAAAAAAAAACAGTGAAAAGAGGAAGTGATGAAGTCTCTGAAAGTTTGGCCTAAATTTAAAACAGAGGAAGTAAAGCAGACTGAGCTGAGATCAGGTAAGAAACAGCGAGAACAACGACGCCACACTGCAGAGACACTGCGAGCAACAGGCTTCGTCTCTTCAGTCGAACTCACTGCTACAAAACACTTTATTATTTATTAACAGTGTTATTAGCAGCCACAAGCACCGTTTCCCCTCAACGCCTCAATGCACTGTAAAAAAAGAAAGGTGATAAACTGTGTGATTTGAGCTGGAACCTGAATTATACGACTGTAGTGGAATGAAACTCATTAACGCTCAATATTCACATTCTGATCAACTCGACCTCTTATTATTATTATTTATGTAAATGATCCAGAACCTGTGAGTCCAGTGCCGACACAGAGTCAGAGACAGTTTGGGACTTTTCTATAAAAAGGGTTAACGCCCTCTAATCAGAGAAGTCTTAGCTACAACACATCATAACCCTGAACAGGACCCTGAACACAACACGACCCTGAACACAACACGACCCTGAACACAACACGACCCATCCTTAGATTTTTCTAATTTCACTCTGCACTTCAACTCCTCTTTTAGCTGTTTTTCTTAATGTATTTTATCACTTGTATTATTATTGGTTGCTGATTTTAATGTGTTATTGCCCTTAGTGTTTTTTGTTATTTTGTTTTTTTCTCGGTTTCTGTAGCACTTTGAGATTCTTTTATGAAAAGTGCTTTACAAATAAATGTTATTATTATTATTATTATTAACCCTGAACACAACATTGAACACAACACAACCCTGAACACATCATAACCCTGAACACGACCCTGAACACAACATAACCCTGAACACAACACGGCCCTGAACACATCATAACTCTGAACACATCACAACCCTAAACACATCATAACCCTGAACACAACACGACCCTGAACACAACATAACCCTGAACACATCACGACCCTGAATACAACATAACCCTGAACACATCACGACCCTGAACACAACTCTAAACATATATAATAATTACTTTATGACTTTCGGGAGCCCAGCGGAGGGTCGGAGGTGGCGGTATCCAATCAGACGTCACTCAGTTCTGGTGAGTTTGACAATTTTTCAACTTCAACTCAAAGAGAGGAATAAAAGTGAGTTATTATTGATTATTATTACTTTGTTTAAGACAGTTGCCTTGAAGACGTTTGAAGGATCACACGAATGTAAGAAATAAAGTCGGTGTCATTATGATAATTTCTTGCACTTTATCTTTGTTTAGCACATTCGGGGGTGTCAGTGGTGTCTGTTTCTTCAGCTCAAACTCAGCTGCAAGTCCAACTTCTCATTTTGTAATTTGTGCCTGAAGACAGCGACAAAACTGCACAAATCCTCAGTGAATAAAATGTGATTATAGAACAGATAAAACTGTAAGAAATACAACAATAATGCAGTTTATTCACACGTAAAGTGACTTTATCACAACTGGTTTTTGTGCCTTTGTCATTTAAAGTTTATTTCTGTCTGTAAAGTGCTGAAAATATGAATAATTCACAGTTTTAAACATTTATAATAACATGGTTTACTCTACACACATACATGGCACAGAATGTGAAAGCCCCATGTTAGTCTCACTTCTGGAATTTGTGGCTGTCTTAATGAGGCTGAAGCCTTTTTAAAGATTTTAATGTGGAAATTATACTTTCTTTTGCGGAACAGACACACCGGATTCTTCCAAGCAGACTATTTTTTATTAATGTCACTTTAAGGTTCTGCTTAAGACTGAAACTGTAAAGTGAACTTTCATTAATACTGAAATGTGAAGTTGTTGAAGTTGAAGAATTGTTTCATTCAGACAGTTTAAATTAACAATCATTTTCACTCCTTTGTCAGTTCATCAATTCATCGTCCTGTCCACGAAATGTAGAAAAAACCCAAAGTGACGTCTTCAGATTGCTCGAAAACTCAAATATATTCAATTTACTATCAAAATATTGAGAATTGTTGCCTGAAATACGACTGAAATTATCAATCTGTTAACCAAATAGTTGCCAATGAATTTTCAATCAATCAGTAATTGATTGATTGACTTGAAGTGTGTTTTAGTATTTTAGTGTTTTTAGCTGCTCCAGGTGTTACTTTTTTATAATATAGATATATATTATGTGTATACACAAAAAGCTACAACACAGCCGCTAGCTCAGCTACAAACAGGCAGCTTACAGAAGCTTTGACTTTAGCGTGAATGTGCTTCTAGTGACTATAAAAGCTCTCTGATCTTTTATAACTTGTTGAAAATGTTTCTGTGAGCTATAAAACTGAGAAAATAAAATAAAGTTTACGAGCTGAAGCGAAAGCGGAAATATGACTCCGATTTTAAACAGGATGGTTGAGCGACTGACGTGAGAGAGTCAGAAGTAGAGAGAGCGCCCCCTGCTGTTCACTCTGCACACGGTGGCTACTACACTGGTTTATTATTACACAATATTATATTATTCTGTTATTAGTGTCCAAGAAACCTACAATATCCTCAAATACTCAAATCAGGAACAATTAGTACAGTTTTAAGTACTTAAGTAAATGTACTTGGTTACTTTCCGGCACTGTTTGTTGTTGTTTTGTCGATTCTTCACATTGTCTCTGATTCAGTCAGTAAAGTTCAGTAAACATATAAAAACACAGGGTGAAATACTTTATATTAATATATATATAATAATATATTACAAAGTAAAAGTACAGGAGTGTAATCAGATAAAAGTACTTAAAGTACTCATGAAGCAGAATGGTTTATTATTTATTATATATATTATATTATATTATAATATATTTTAGGTTATAAAGTAACTTTAAGTGTCAAATAAAAACTATATTTCCATATTAATGTAGTTGAGTACCAATGCAGAGTACTTTATTACTTATTGATAGCTGATCTGATGTATTGATCAGATGAGTAAACTCTGCAGGAGCTCTGAGGGGGATTCGGTTCTGTCCTCACATACCTTCAGGGACCCTCCGGGATCTGATCTGGGACCAGAATAAACCTCCGGGATCTGACCTGAGACCAGTATAAACCTCCGGGATCTGACCTGAGACCAGTATAAACCTCCGGGATCTGATGTGAGACCAGTATAAACCTCCGGGATCTGATGTGAGACCAGTATAAACCCTCCGGGATCTGATGTGAGACCAGTATAAACCTCCGGGATCTGATGTGAGACCAGTATAAACCCTCCGCCGTCGTCAATCACTAAAGAGTGAGGCTGAACTTTGGAGTCGGACTCTGTTCCTGGTGCAGCAGCAGAGACTCTGCAGGACCTGACATGTCTGACTGAGACCAGGATCCACCCAGAGAGGTCTGAACCCCCTCCCTAACGATCCACAAGAGACCCCGCTCCCTCCGGTCCTCTCAGACCAGAACACGACCCCCCCTCCCGCTCCTCACCTTCTGATAGCTGATCGATATCTGCGGATCGATACCGTGCGTCCGGGCTCCGGCGGTGGTCCAGGTGTCTCCCGGCGGGTCCGCCTCCTCTACATGCTGAGTGAGTGCGAACCCGGAAAACAGCCGCTCGGCTCTCCGTTAACTATAAAAGGAGTGATTTCCTCAGGAGGAACTGAGCTCGCAGCCAATCACAGAGCAGCAACGGCGGCGGCAATCTCACATCGGCCGACGGAGGCAACCGGAGGCAACCGGAGGCAACAAGAGGCAACCGTTAATAATCCAACTAAAGTCAGAAACATCTTGTTTTGAAAAGTTATAATGTTAAAGAAAGATCTCCTTAAAGTCAGGATTTAATTATTACATTATTATTATTATTATTATTATTATTATTATTATTATTATTATATTATCTTATATTATTACATTATTATATTAAATTATTATTATTATTATATTATCTTATATTATTACATTATTATATTAAATTATTATTATTATATCATTATATTATATTATTACATTATTATATAAAATTATTACATTATTACATTATTATATTAAATTATTATATCATTATATTAATACATTACTACATTATTATATTATTACATAATTATATAATAAAATCATTGTGTCTTCCTGTGAAACTAAATGTGACGTGTGCTTACGTCAGCATGAACTAACTCATATCAACTAATAATATTCACATTCACCCGTCAATCAATCGTACAAACACAACTTTATTATCTACAGACAAACAACAGTGAAGGGAGGAGTTGGAGTAACGTAAAGCAGTGTATGAAAACGTTTTGTAGTTTCAAATATTCACTTAAAACTTACATTTCTTAAAGTAATAATAATAAAAATAATAATAATAATACATTTTATTTATAATGCCCTCTTCATCTAAAGATCTCAAAGTGCTACAAAAAAAGATAAGCAGTTTAAAAAAATAAAAAATTTAAAAATTTAAAAAAACAAGAAAAGGAGAAAAGAATAAAAATAAAAATAATAATAAAAAAGGTTTTGATAAAAAAAAGAACATCTAAAAGGGACCAAAAGCTTTGATAAAAAGAAATGTCTTAAGATCCTTTTTAACACAGTCAGTGGATTGTGGAGCCCTCAAGGTGTCAGGGAGGGCAATCCACAGACGTGGGGCAGCAGCACAAAAGGCTGGTTCTGGGTATGTGGAGGAGGTTTGAGTGAGTGGAGCGGAGGGAGCGTGTTGTGTTTTGTGGGTTGATAAGTTCTTTGAGGGGGGGGGGGGGTCCATGGATGCATTGATGTGTGAGGAGAGAAACCTTGTACTCAATCCTGGTGGAGACAGGAAGCCAGTGGAGTGAGTGGAGAATGGGGGTAATGTGCTCATGTTTCCGCACTCTCATCAGGATCCTAGCTGCAGAGTTTTGGATGTACTGAAGCCTCTGCAGACTCTTTCCAGGAATCCCAATGAGCAGTGCGTTACAGCAGTTCAGTCTGGAGGAGACACAGGCATGAACCAGCTTCTGGTATCTGAGAGGGAGAGAATAATAAACTACAGTCTGGAGCTGACCTACAGAAATATTCATGATAAAGTGTGTTATTCACCCCCGACCCTCAAACAGCCAGAATCCACCACTGCTGTAGGCCTACATTGTTTTATTTATCCTAATCTAAATATTATATATTATAATAGATATATATATAATATAATATATATATATATATTATATATATATATATATATATTATAATATATATATATATTATAATATATATATATATTATATATTATAATATATATATAGATCTATATATTATATAATATGTTCTATGACTGTGAAACTGACCCTGTGTTGCGAAATGACAAACCTCAGTGAAATCCTACATTTCCCATGTTTCCCGTGGGCCGCGCACACGGAAGTGCGTCATCACGCTTGACCTTGTCACTCTTCTTCAGTTGTTTTCCTGCAGTCGGAGAGGACGAGCATGGCGAACAAGGGGCCGATGGTGAGTTTTATTCCTTTAAAGTGTTTATTCTTGTTTTTCTGCCGTCAGCTCGGTAGAACCGGGCTCCGGTTTCCCGCCCTTTGTGCTCCGGTTTCCCGCTCTTTGTGCTCCGGTTTGTGACGTTTAACAACAGTCAGACACGTGAGTGATCTGATGTAAGCTAGCTTACAGTCAGAGTACAGTTAGCTAATGTGTTAGCACAGCTAACAGTCAGATACACACAGGTAAACACACACAGGTAAACACACACAGGTAAACACACACAGGTAAACACACACAGGTAAACACACACAGGTAAAGACACACAGGTAAACACACACAGGTAAACACACACAGGTAAACACACACAGGTAAACACACACAGGTAAACACAGGTAAACACAGGTAACTGCTGTTATTCTGTGTGTGAACGGAAGGTTGTGGGTTCTCTGTCCATTCAAATCCACATCAGCAGCTGTGTGTTATTATGGGATTGATTAGTTTCTGTTCCAGCAAACATTAAAACTGTCGACTGTTGAATGGAGTTAAACATAGTGTGTGTGTGTGTGTGTGTGTGTGTGTGTGTGTGTGTGTGTGTCTGTGTGTGTGTCTGTGTGTGAGTGTCTGTCTGTCTGTCTGTCTGTCTGTCTGTCTGTCTGTGTGTGTGTGTGTCTGTGTGTGTGTGTGTGTCTGTGTCTGTGTGTGAGTGTCTGTCTGTCTGTCTGTCTGTCTGTCTGTCTGTGTGTGTGTGTGTCTGTGTCTGTGTGTGTGTGTGTGTCTGTGTCTGTGTGTGAGTGTCTGTCTGTCTGTCTGTCTGTCTGTCTGTCTGTCTCTCTCTCTGTGTGTGTGTGTGTCTGTGTCTCTGTGTGTGTGTGTGTCTCTCTCTGTGTGTCTCTGTCTGTCTGTGTGTGTGTGTGTCTGTGTGTGTGTCTCTCTCTCTCTGTGTGTGTGTCTCTCTCTCTGTGTGTGTGTGTGTGTGTCTCTCTCTGTGTGTGTCTCTCTGTGTGTCTCTCTGTGTGTGTGTGTGTGTGTCTGTGTGTGTGTGTGTGTGTGTGTGTGTGTGTGTGTGTTCTCATATATAATATTTGTGTTTCAGGGTTTTGTGCAGCAGCTGCGTCAGGTAGTAGGCAGGATGTCTTCGGGACCTCCGGGTCTGGGGATCGGTGTCAAACTGCTGATCGGTGCTGGAGCTGTTGCTTATGGAGTGAAGGAAGCAGCATACACAGGTATGTATTTGTTTTCCAATGATAAACTATTGGCCTCTCAATGTAAGTAAAGGCTCCTTGCACTGATGCAAATACACGCAGCAGGATTACAGACTGAAAACGTTTATTCCAGAAGTTCAAAAGAATAAATATATATAGAAAATTAACACTGACACGAGTTAGATTGAAACATTTCTATTTAAACACAATCTGAAAATGTGTGTGTGTGTCTGTGTGTGTGTGTGTGTGTGTGTGTGTGTGTGTGTGTGTGTCTGTGTCTGTGTGTGTGTGTGTGTGTGTGTGTGTGTGTCTGTGTGTGTGTGTGTGTGTGTGTGTCTGTGTGTGTGTCTGTGTGTGTGTGTGTGTGTGTGTGTGTGTGTGTGTGGTTCCTCTAGTGGAAGGAGGTCAGAGAGCGATCATCTTCAACAGGATCGGAGGGATGCAGATGGACACGGTTCTGGCTGAAGGACTCCACTTCAGGTAGCTCATGAACACAGCTGTAGAGTTTCCAGGGTCAGGGTCAGGGTTAGGGTCAGTGTTTGGGTCAGGGTCAGGGTCAGGGTCAGGGTTTGGGTTTGAATCGTATGTTAGCTCCCTCAGAACCGCTGCGACACTTTAACCCTTCAGGCGCCGGGCTTTATTTTTAAAGATACTAGATATTGATATCTACATTTCAGGAGGCTCTGGCTTGAAAGTGGTTTGAGATAGAGACAAAGTGTAAATGAGACAAATATTGAGAATGACCTAAAGTTTATCTAGGGAGTAAATCTCCCCATCTAATTTGCATATTATGACGTCATATGGCGACGGCCATATTGGATTATATAATTTCCATGAAATACCTGATATTTGGAAAGAGAGTTGAACTTATTTCATCAGATTCACCCCCCTCCATCTATTTGTTACGTTGTCCACATATCAAATGAACAGGGAAAAGTAAATTGTAAGCCAACAGTCGTAAACTAGAACTATTACTACCACAAAGCTCATGTAAACAGTAGGCCACCCCCCCATTGGAGGACACTTTTTCTTTTCTTTTTTTATTCTCTTCTTCATTATTATTATTATTATTATTATTATTATTATTATTATTATTATTATTATTATCAGTAGGCGTCTTTTAGCTGCAGAGGCCTAATCTGATCTATCCAGATAAAAGTTTGTAGTATTTGTAGAGTGTGGAACCTCTCATTGCAAGGCACAGTACAGAGACAATATGAACAATATTGAGACATAGCCTAACAAATGGACAGGCACACTGCCGCATCAGATGGCTGCGCCACTGCCGCGCATGAACGCACTGTGACCGGCGCGGTAGAAAGAGTGAACACTAACACTGGTCCCAGCACTATTCTCACCATCCCCGCTACTTCTACCACATCCATTAGCTCCCTTACTGATACTACGAGTTCCTGTAGTACTCCCACCTATGTTGGGCAAAGGGTCGTGTGTTTGTGCTTGTGTGTTTTCCTCGCTCTGCCCGACAGCGCCGGTGCAAAGACGCACCGTTACTATCACGCTCACTAATCGACCGGCCGTCATCTCCCAAAGGTACATTTTCCCCTTCAGAATCAGAGTCAGTGAACAGGAGACCCATCACTTCCCTAAGCGTCAACTTTTTGCTTGCCATTTTCTTTTATTTCGTCTCAATAACTCCTCAATCCAGCAATACCACTTCAGCATAAATAGCGCCGTGGCGCACTATTTCCGGTTTCTCACCCAACAGTTTGGACGGGACTTCCTCGAACATTTTGCATTGAAACATGACGTTTTTCTGAGCTAAGGTCTAAGTACGGGATGTCTGCCAACTAGTGGAGGGGAGTATGAATGAGATATAACACTATATTAGGAGAAAACAGCTGTTTAAAGGGTTAAAGCCAGTTTATCTGTTTGTTTGATTACTTTTAAAGTCGACTGTCAAATTAAATTAAATTTCTGTTTAATCGACGGTGAAACGATTCTCAGGGAAAGACACAAACATGGCTTCCTATGAACAAACTCCGTTAGTTGGGTTCTTTCCTCCAACTTATTTCTGTTTATTTGCTCGTTGCAGCCACAGAAACATGAAGATAACAGATTGAGAACTGATTGTTTTCCATTTGACTTCCTGTAAACTGCTGGTTGTGTGTGACTGTGTGCCGTTGTCTTCAGGATACCCTGGTTCCAGTATCCCATCATCTACGACATCAGAGCCCGACCCAGAAAGATCTCCTCCCTCACCGGAAGCAAAGGTCAGACTCACACATGTGAAACAGAAGCTGTCATAACCCGACTCCTAGGCTATGACAAATACGACATAGGACACAATAGATGGCAAGAAATGAGTGAATTTATTATATTAACGTAAACAACTGAGGTTATAAGTACAAATGTGAAGTGTGTCAGTCAGTAACTTCAGTGATGTAAATGTGGATGTGTGAGCAATATGAGGTTTAATGTTGTAAAGTGAAAACAAATCAGAAACCAAACAAAGAGAATGTGCTGCTGCTGCTGAATGAGAGAGAGAGAGAGAGGAGAGAGAGAGGAGAGCAGAGTTGAGACAGGGTCTTTATCCATTAAGGAACCAGGAGCTCCAAATCCATACTCTGCTGATGGTACCTTCAAGGACACATAGGAAAAACAATAACTGGTCAACCACATCAACAGTAGACCGGGACCATCACAAAACTCTCAAAGGAAACTGAGGGAAGCTGGACCGGAGGCTGCGGATCAGTCCGTTTACGGGGGGGAAACATAGTGATTGAGTTCTCTGATTCTGTTCCCTAAAACAAAACATAGAATTATTAAAAACGTAAAAGAGAGATTGTGACAGCGCGTTTTACTTTAAATATATTTCCAGACGGACATTTTGAGTTTGTGCCGTTTTCTAAATGTCACACTTTCTACTTATAGAATAAAACCAATCCTCCTCGGTTTGAACTCTTACGTATGAGTTAAAGTCGTGTTACCGTGTGTGAACCCTGGAAGCTCGTTGAGTTTCTCCAGTACGGCGTTTGTCCAGCAGAGGGCGCCCACCAGCTGCTCTTCACTCTCCCATATCACACTGACACTTCTTTAAACCAGAGTCAGTTCGGATCCGACCTGCGGCCCTATGCTGCCTGTCATCCCCTCTCTCTGCCCCCCTTTCCTGTCTATCTTCAGATGTCTCTGTCATAAAGGCAATAAAAAGCCCCAAAGAAGAAGAAATGTTTGTTAGGATTATTTCTGAACTCTCTCTCTCGTTGATCTGAACCTCAAGAATCCAGCATTGATTATCCTGGAAAACCTGGAAATTGATTAAAATTACTCTCTGTCTCACTCTCTCTCTCTGTCTGTCTCACTCTCTCTGTCTCTCTCTCTCTGTCTGTCTGTCTCTCTCTCTGTCTGTCTGTCTCTCTCTCTGTCTGTCTCTCTCTGTCTCTCTCTCTGTCTGTCTCTCTCTCTGTCTGTCTCTCTCTCTCTCTGTCTCTCTCTCTGTCTGTCTCTCTCTCTCTCTGTCTCTCTCTCTCTGTCTGTCTCTCTGTCTGTCTCTCTCTCTGTCTGTCTCTCAGACCTTCAGATGGTGAACATCGCACTGCGAGTCCTGTCTCGGCCGCTGGCGTCCAACCTGCCCATCCTCTACCAGCACCTGGGACAAGACTACGACGAGCGCGTGCTGCCGTCCATCGCCAACGAGGTGCTGAAGAGCGTGGTGGCGAAGTTCAACGCGTCCCAGCTGATCACGCAGAGAGCGCAGGTACACGCACAGCTCAGCTCACACTGAGTCTGTTCACAGTTTATTATTATTGATGTGACATCATGCTAACCCCCCCCCCCCAGGTCTCCCTGCTGATCCGCAGAGAGCTGTTCGAACGGGCCAAAGACTTCAACATCATCCTGGACGACGTGGCCATCACAGAGCTCAGCTTCAGTCGCGAGTACACCGCCGCCGTCGAGGCCAAACAAGTCGGTGAGTCGACGCAGGAAGTGATCTCTCTGCCCGTATCCATGACAACAGCTGTCATTGCCCAGCTATAATGGACTAATGGCTTTAATTTGACCTTTAATTTAACCCGTATGTACGTATAGAACCTTTTAATTAAAGTTACACCATGTGGTTAATGTAAATACATTCAGGTATACTTCCTGTTAACTGTCCTGTAAAAGCTGAAGGTTCACTTCTGTTTAATGTTTAAATGTAAAATAAATAGTTAATTCAGTCTAATAGAACAATGGTTCAACATCAGGAACAATAAAACTAATCTGTATAAAAAGTTCCTTAAACAATTCATCCAAATATCAGAGGAAGCATTAAAAATCAAAGTTATTCCACCAAACTTTTGAACTTAACTTTAGCAAATAAATGTAAAATGAGCTGAATGTAATTAGTTTATTATTATAATGAAAGCAGTCTGCTGATCATCAGTGTCTGTGAGCATCCAGTGACTGTTGTTCCTCTCCAGCCCAGCAGGAGGCGCAGCGAGCTCAGTTCTATGTAGAAAAGGCCAAACAGGACCAGAGACAGAAGATCATCCAGGCTGAAGGAGAAGCTGAAGCTGCCAAGATGGTGAGTTCATTCAGTTTCTGTACAGACGGAGAGTTTCTATCTCATATAATCTATAATCTATAATCTTCAGGTGTTCTTAAAGGTATTTTACAGTTTCCTGATAATCAATAAAACTCTGTCGTCCTCCGGCTGCTTCCACTCTCTGAGATTTACAGAGTTTCCTGATGGACAGATAACTTTAGCTAAAGCAGCTAACAGCTAATTAACTGCTGCTAACTGTCTCAGAACCGGGCTCAGCAGCCGGACCGGGATCGAACAGCCTCCGAGACCGACAGTGAGTAACGTTACAGCACCGAGGTCAGTTCCAGTTTCTGATGGACAGATTGATCAGCTGCTGTTAGCTCGGTGACTCGCTGGTCAACCTCGGTGCTGTAGTCCCTGTTCGGTCCCGAGTCCGACTGCATCCACTACCGCCTACTAGACGCTGATGTTTTTACAGGCAACCAAACTACCTGCACAGAGACACAGTATCTGTTTGTATTATGGGATGGATCCGCCCCTAAAACAAACACTTTCAAACCGGATCAAAGGTCACCCGTTCCAGCGAGAGCCGCCTGCTTGTTGTTACTGTTGTTGTGTCTTCGGGCTGTTTGTGTTTAAATGTGACATTGAGCTCCGACTGTGCAGTTAACAGATTGCTGGTCGTGTTCAGCTGATTTATAACAACGTAATTAACCTGAAACCCAGCTGCAGATCCTCGGCTCCGACAAACTCATCACTTAAACAAACACTTCATCCAAATATGCAGTAATTGTTTTTCCTGCCTGTCGACACGCGTGAGAATATCGCAGCCGTGCAGCGACACGCCTGCAGCTCCTCGCGGCGAGCCGCTCGGAGAGACCGGCTCAGCCTGCTGCGGATCAGCCTCGGGTCGGACGCTCCCTTTTGTTAGGTGTGTAACAGTGTTCTCCTGTGAATACACTAACAGTTTAAATGTGTTTGTTTGTGTGTCAGCTGGGCGAGGCCGTGACGAAGAACCCAGGATACCTGAAGCTCAGGAAGATCCGGGCGGCGCAGGCCATCGCCAAGACGGTAAGAAACGCCTCCCTGAAACGTCCTCGCTGCACCAGAGTTCTGACCTGGTTCTAATAGACCACATCCATCTGAAACCCAGACTGGACCTCAGGGCTTTATTATCCTCACGGAGGAACTCTGCTCCGTTCATCATTAAACCTCCTCAGATCAGATATAAACATTTAGTTTATACTCGACTGTCGGTAGGATGAATCAGTGTTAAACGATTAAAAAGTCCCAGTTTAATGACGGCAGCTTTAATTTGAGATAATAAAACCAAACGAGGTTCGATTACACTGAAAGCGTGTCGGAGATCTTTGAGTCATTACAGCCAGGAGAACCAGTTTGTGTTCAGCGAGCTCCTGAATGTTGTTTTAAGACGCACTCACCTCTCTTTAAATAGGATTAAGTTATTAATCTGTCCTCGGCCTTAATAGCGCTGCTGTTGGTTCACACGCTGAGGAGGGTAAGTGTCGGCTTATAGCTCAGCGTCCAGCTCATATCTGTCAGTACATTATTATTTAAGATGATCACAGTGTTGTTTATTATTATTATTGATCGCAGCGTACAGTGACAGAGCTTCAGTCTCTGATCAACAGCCTCATCCTGCATCAGAAAGCAATCAGCTGATCGATCAATGAGAATAAACAGTGAATCTGTCAGAAAGAAGAATATTAAGTCTGATTGTTAAAATGATAAAAATACAGACAGAGAATGGATCAATATATCAGGAAAACTCGAATAATAAATAATAATCTGCTCAAAATTCATCCACATTAGGTCTCTCAGTCTCATATAGTCAGTTCCTTAACGGGAGAACGAACCAGATATTGATCTGACAGAACAATAACAACAATAATATGATAGATATATTCTGTATTTGGACTCACATCTCTAAAATACACAGATTTAATGTCACAACCTTCATAAATCAGTTTAATTGATAACTGCTGGTACAGTTGAGAGTGAAGCAGCTCGGGGAGTCCACCAGGTGGCGCCAGCTGAACATGGATTTGATGGAGAAGTCAGAGGAAGGATGATGGAAACAAACATTTGACCTCTTTTTGTTCACTACAGTTTATATTTATAACACAACAGAATATTTAATCAGGAGGATAAAGAACTTTATTTACAACATAATAAAGTTTCATACCTGATGAATCTGAAACTTTCCTCTACAGCACTTTTTGTCCTAGTTAGTCGTTTTCTTTGAGAATTGGAGTTTAAGCTGTTCAGATATTTTGTCCTGAGTCGGCCGCTCACAATATGGACTTAAAGTTAAAGAATGTGTCCAACGCTGTCGTCACTACGTTAATGACAGACCGCCTCTGTGCCTCATGTTTAATATTCACTGTAGTTAACAGAGAAACAATCGAGCGTTTGATAACTCTTGAAGAAGTCGTACACTGTTAGCATTTATTAAGGATTCATTAACGTCAGTCACTGTGGGTTGAAAACATTAAAGGTTATTACAACTGCTTCATCAGGCTTTCATTAACTGTTTGTACATGAGCAGAATGTGCTGTTGTAGCTTATCACTACATTATAAAGTTATAATTAATGTGTTTATAAACCATTTATTAATATGATCTACTGAGGTTGAAGGTTTTATCTCGATATATGTTTTCATGAATTAATATTTAATGAAATAAATGATAAAATAAATCTGTTTTATTGTTATGAGGTAAAAATGCTCTTTAAATATATAATATAAACCTACAACCACGGCGAGCACGGAGCAGGAAGTCGTCCATTAAGGGAACTTTTTGTATCTTAACAAGAGTCCAAGTTTTAGGTTTTCACTCGTGACCAAAATATAGTTTAAGTGTTCGGGGTTCCCGGTCAGTCTCTGAGATAATGTTGGGTCCCGGGTCCGACTGCGTTCACTGGAAGGTAGCTGCTGCCTCCCCAACTGTTTTTATAGTAAATACATAAATATGAGGAAGCGAACGGCTCTCTGCTTCCTGTTTCATGGGAACAGTTTGGGCCCCAGCTCTATTTTAAGCTTGTTAATAAAGTTTTATATTGAACTCTGATGTGCGCAGCCTCTCTCTGCACGTCTTTAACGAGACACGTGACTGTTGATGATGAAATGAGTCATTAGTCCGCTCTGTAATGGCTCTACCTCACAGTGTGACCTACAGTCACGTCATGTGTTCGGGGCGCTGTGGCGGTGGCGTGCGTTTCCTGTGTGTATCGGTGAACGGGCCTCAGCAGCTCGCCGTGCTGTGAATCAGCTCAGTGTTGAAGCTCTGACAATGTTCCCATTGTGCTCAGCAGCAGCAGCTCGGTCGAGCCTGAACGCTGAGAAACTTTCCACCTGTGTTTTCTCTCACTCGCTGTTTGTTTGTTTGACCTGCAGGTGGCGCAGTCTCAAAACAAAGTGTACCTGAACGCCGACAGCCTGGTGCTCAACCTGCAGGACAGAGACAGCTACAAGTGAGTCCCGACTGGGTTTCACCTTTAAACCTCTCACTCGTGGCCATTAGAGTCTTCATATGACGTCTGCCCTGTATCTATAGCAATGACGGCCCCTGTATGTTTATATGTTTGTACCGATCGGAGTTTTTATAGGTTTGTATTTTTCTTTAGTTTTAATTTGTTTTGAATTCAGTTTAGTTTTTATTTTATTTAATAATGTTTAGTTTTTAGGTTTTGTTGGGAGGAATCAGAGTCAGTTACATCTGATAGCTAACTTAAGCAAACCGATTGCTAACAAGCTAGCTAATCTAATGCTACATCAATCATTTGTTAGCGTTTTGCTAACATTAGCCGATGTATTACTACAGCTCAGTGATTAATGACGTAGATTGTCTCATTAACGTTAATTTATATCTGAGCACAGGATACAGTTTCCCTTTGCTTCCAGTCTTTGTGCTAAGCTAGGCTAAACATATCTTACTTATGTTCAGAAGCTGCTGCTTTAATGTAAAATCTGTGTTTCTTTCAGTTTGTTGCGGAAGTAAGAGGACGTCTCTCCGTCGGTTCGTCATTCCTTCTGGTCTTCAGAAACCTTCTCCACCGCTCTCGAGTCCACGACCTCGTTTACGGGCCACAAAACTGAACTCTAATCTGTGGACTGGTTTTATTTTGAAAGGTTCCTCTGGTGTAGGCGACTGGTGATTCTTCTGCTTCTGTGTTCCCTGTAGACGTTTACGACCTCTTTACTTTGTGAGTAAGACGTAACGGAATAAGTTTGTTTGTTCACGCTGAGAAGTCTTCAACTTCCTGTAAGGTCGTTGTTTTGGTTTTTTTAAGCTTTTCCATCTTTGAAAGATTATTTCTGTACAGTTTCACTCCACAGGTTGTTCCATAAATAGGTCAGAAGCACTGATAAACAAGTTATTCTGCTTTCTGCTATTTCCTAAAATTAAGAAAATTAAAGTTTCAAGAATAAAATGTGAAAAATTACTTTAACAAACACCAGAGGAATCTTTAAACTCGTCAGTTTTCCTAAATCACAAAAGAATAAACATTACAGCTGCAGATTTATCTGATTATTCTCCTGATTAATTGATGATTCTTTGGTCTAATAATTGTCAGAAAGCCTGTTACAAGTCCAGAGCCAATGAGAAAGACTTTAATAATCCTGTTTACTGTCAGCGATTAGGAATCAGAAAGAAAGATAAATTAAAAAGCTTAAAACAGTAAAATTACAGCAACCTGTTGTTTACTGCCTGATATAGTTCAAACGATCAATCAGGAAGTGTGTTTGTGATTTGGGTGAACTGACTCTTTATGTCTCGCTGAACTGAGCCTGGAGGAGGATTTAACCTGGAAGCTGTTATTGGCCGGAGGAGAAGCTCTGAGAGCCGATCACAACTATTGTGTCTGTCGGAGCGTCGCGGCTGTCTGGGACTCTGGACTGGATGAGAAGAAGAGATTGAAGCATTTGAACATTTAAAGCTTCACATGTATAATGTTTGTGTTCAGTGTCATTAAAGGAAAAAGAAATGAGAGGAGTTTATCGATTGTTAGCACCTCTTTAGCATTTATTAGCTCTATATGAAGATTGAATAAATGGTTTCTAACACTAAGGTAGTTGTAAGCTTTCATTAATGGACAGTATGGACTCATTCAGGATGACTTATTTCTGTGGTTCGACCCTGAACTCGTCCTGGTTGGGATTTCTCTATTGATTGACTGAGGCTTGCTCAACTGTGATTGGAGCACGGAGCAACGGGGGCGGGGCTAAGTAAGGGTCAATTAGTGGAGAAGATCCAAGTGGAGTGAGTAATGAACCTGAGACACAAATATAAACAACAAATAAAACGAGTTAAACGTGTCGACATTACGAATATGTGAGTAAATGATGTCCTGTAAAGTCAAAACCTGGAAAAGTCCTGGAAAAGTCCTGGAAGATAGTTTCCTACAAAGAGAGAGTGGAAGAGCTGGCGGGTCCGTTGGAGTATCGCTGTGTCTGTAGCACAGGAACTCTTGACTCAGGGATCAGGGATCAGCGTCGAAGCTGCAGGGACTCAGTTCTCGCAGCAGCTTTTGTGTTTTGTAACACTTCAATAAGCGTCTCATTGAGTAGAGCCTCCGCTCAGCCTCAAACTAAACATGAACACTGTTGGCTCATAATCGTTAATGCCAGCGAGTATTTATGTCGACAGCCACAGTGACCATAAACACACTGTTATCTTTGTGTCAGGGAAAAGCTTGTGTGTGTGGGGGGGGGGGGTCTCAGGGTTTCTGCACCAACTCAATTAACCTTAAATAATTCATTTAAATCATTAATAACAAGTATAATTAGGAAGCTAGTTTAAAAACAGGCACACAAAGGGACACCATTTACATCAGACTGCTGTTAGCTGATAATGATCCTGATCAGTAATCAATACCCCCATTAATAAAGCATTAATCCAACTAACATCAGACAACCTGATCAGCCTTCAGCAGTTAGCTAGTGTTTCTGTAGTGGAGACTAAACGTTAACAATGATCCATATCAGCAGTTTGAATCCAACTAAAAGCTCCCTGCACCAAACTCCCTTTAAGAAATATCACATTTTAACAATTCCTAACGTGTTCGTAACAACACGTAACTCTAGAAACACGAGCTAAAGGCCGTCATATGTCCACAGTCTGACTGTCAATACAGGATCAATATCATCCATACAGATACAGTGTATACTGATCAATATCATCCATAAAGATACAGTGTATTCTGATCAATATCATCCATAAACATACAGTGTATACTGATCAATAATCCATAAAGATACAGTGTATACTGATCAATAATCAATAAAGATACAGTGTATACTGATCAATAATCAATAAAGATACAGTGTATACTGATCAATAATCAATAAAGATACAGTGTATACTGATCAATAATCCATAAAGATACAGTGTGATTTGTTGTATGTAAATGTGTCTTACACACAGAACAGGTTCATCAATATTCATCCAAACAACGTCTCTGATTTATTTATTAATGAATCTGTCACTCATTAGTTTCATCCACTAACAGATCAATACGATCACACAATTATTGAAGAATAAGATAATCAATAAATAATTCAAATGTTCCGAATGTCAGATTCTGAAGCATTGTAACTTCATTAAAGTGAACAGAACCAGAATCAAACTCATTAAAATCTTCTCTGTCAGTGTTTCCAACAATCACCAACTCTGGTTTGGTGGAAATAAATCCTTAATTCACCGACGTAGATGATAAAAACAGCAGTTTCAGTCGGAGCAGACCGGCTATGGAAACAAACCACAGAGAGGCTGCGATACAACACAGGCAGAGGGAGAGAGACAGGCAGAGGGAGAGAGACACCATGTGACTCTGTGTCTTTATAAAGAGAATATAATGTTTAATGTATAAAACCTTTATAAAGTTAACAATAACTTTAATTTAATTACTTATGTGTAACAACATTTATTCCTCTAACAGCTCAATAAGACTTTGAGGCCTTCGGCTGATTTCGTCGGTCACATGACCCTCATCATATTCGTCCCCAGAGCCCCCCCCCCCCTCCCCTCCCCCCCTCTACAGGGTTACAATAAGAAAAAGAAAAGATAAGATGGCTGCCGAGTTATTTATAGCCCGAGAGGCTGCAGTTCAGAGCTGCTGCACTGCAACCTGAAATCTGCAGAGAGAGCAGGGGAGGGGGGAGGAGGGGGGAAGGGGGGAAGGAAGAGGGAGGAGGGGGGAGGTTTGGAGTCCATTGTGTTAGCGACACAAAGCGAGCTGCCGTCCCTCCATGTTGCGAGAGGCTGCTGTTCTTCTTCTACATAAGAAAGAGGAAGGAGGAGGCGGAGGGAGGGGGGCGGGGGCAGATTTAAATCTCAGAGGGAGGAAAGGAGGGGGGAGAAGGGAGGAAAGGAGGAGGAGGGAGGAGAGGAGGAGGAGGGGGAGGAGATGGTACAGGCGGGTGAATATTCATGGAAGGTTTTTTTTAAAAAAAAAAAAAGGAAAAGAGAGGGGGCTGGGAGACGGAGGGAGGGCGGGATTGGCTGCCGCTCCACGCCCCCCTCGCACCTCACAACAAGCCTGTCAGGGCGGCCAATCAGGAGCCTCGGCTGCGTTTGAAAGATGCCAGAGAGAAAAGAGGAGGCGAGGAGGAGGAGGAGGAGGAGGAGGAAGAGGAGTCAGAGATGATGAATGTGCTGCTGGTGTCGATGTGCAGCCGCTGCACTTTGTGAGATCTCTGAATTCAACCTCTTCTCCCGCAGGAAAACCTGCTAACGCCGCCGGGGTTCACCGTACGGTCGACGTCACCCGGCGCTGCAGATTAATCAGGTTGTTTGTTTTCTACCCGTCAGCGGGGAGAAGTGTTGGGATGATGGCAAAAAAAAAGAGATGGCTTTTACTTCTCCTGCTGTTTAAAAGGTCCCCTGAATCCCAGATACAGTAAAATATCAGCGCCAACACGTTAACAGACTTTTATTTGACTGTAAAGCCCCTTTAATGCTCTGCAGACGGTTGGAGTCAGTGCGGGGAGGTGTTAGTGAGGTCGTACATCCTCCGTCCTTCCTCATCGTGTCCTTCCTCATCGTGTCTCTGCTGCAGCTTCCTGCAGCGGCTGCGAAATGCCGCCTGTTTGTGGTGACCTTGTTTTTTTTTGTTGCTCCAGATCATCAGCGCCTTTTTAATCTTCTGCTGGTTCCTGCCTGATCTGCAGTGCATGATTGCAAATGAAGAGCGAGGAGGTGGGAGGAGGAGGAGGAGGAGGGAGGAGGGGGGTGAGGAGGGAGGAGGGGGAGGAGGAGGAGGAGGAGGAGGGAGGAGGGGTGAGGAGGAGGAGGAGGAGGAGGGAGGAGGAGGAGGAGGAGGGGGGTGAGGAGGAGGAGGAGGAGGAGGAGGAGGTGGGGTGAGGAGGAGGAGGAGGAGGAGGGAGGAGGTGGGGTGAGGAGGGGGTGAGGCTGCAGCATTTTGGGAGGGGGGGATCTCACACACACATGCTACCACATGCTCACGACTCGCACACCTCCCCTCCCGTCTCTGCCTCCAACCCGCCCCGTCCTGTTTCCACGGTGCAAAAACAAGGACGGATTACCGTTCATCTGCTCCGTCGCCATGGAAACACTGACCTCACACTGTGGTGACCGGCAGTCTGGGCCGGTCGCCATGGCGATCTGCTGCCGGTGCCGTGTGCCGTGCCGTGCCAGGCTGGGAGGGAGGGAGGGAGGGAGGGTCTGCTGGGTTGTGACGGAGAGGCCCTGCAGCTCACCGCAGTGTCGTCACCAAACAGGCTGTACCAGGATGTGACCAGCAGAGGGCGACGTCACTGATCCAGAGCAGGAAGTGACACACTAACGAGAACCAAGAGTTCATTAAGAGACTGGACTCTATGTAGGTTGAAGGTCAAAGGTTGTGACCTTTATGTTCCCTACAGTGTCCAACAGAGTCCACAACACAGAGTCCAACACAGAGTCCAACACAGAGTCCAACACAGAGTCCACAACACAGAGTCCAACACAGAGTCCAACAGAGAGTCCAACAGAGAGTCCACAACACAGAGTCCAACACAGAGTCCACCACACAGAGTCCAACACAGAGTCCACAACACAGAGTCCAACACAGAGTCCACAACACAGAGTCCACAACACAGAGCCCAACACAGAGTCCAACACAGAGTCCACAACACAGAGTCCAACACAGAGTCCACAACACAGAGTCCAACACAGAGTCCAACACAGAGTCCACAACACAGAGTCCAACACAGAGTCCACAACACAGAGTCCAACACAGAGTCCAACACAGAGTCCACAACACAGAGTCCACAACACAGAGTCCAACACAGAGTCCACAACACAGAGTCCAACACAGAGTCCAACACAGAGTCCACAACACAGAGTCCACAACACAGAGTCCAACACAGAGTCCACAACACAGAGTCCACAACACAGAGTCCAACACAGAGTCCACAACACAGAGTCCAACACAGAGTCCAACACAGAGTCCAACAACACAGAGTTCAAAGTCAAAGCTAACATTAATGCTAAGCTAGTGGAACATATTGTCTGATTGTGCTGTTAGCTGGATAACGTTAGCTTGGTTGCTAATTCAAACAAATTACTAGCTAGCTAACGTAGCAAAATGCTCTCAGAAAGATGTTTAGCTACCGGTTAGCTCGCGTGTTTTAAAACATTTAAGAAACAACCACTTTAACAATGTAGCATCAGGAAGCTACAGTCAGTTTACTGCTACTGCAGATAAAAAGGGTTAGCTAGCTAAAGTCCCACTTCAGTTAGCTTCGGCTCTCCTGAACTTTCTGAAAGAGTCGGTTTCGTTATTCCAAACTAAATGTACATGAAACCAGTGTTAGCATACTGAAAGCTATATCGTTGTTCAGCAGGACTTCGGTGGTCTGACGGAGACTCTGAGGACGGTTCGGGCCCAGGACGGTTCGGGCCCCGGACGGTTCGGTCCCCGGACGGTTCGGGTCCTCGGACGGTTCGGTCCTCGGACGGTTCGGGCCCAGGACGGTTCGGGCCCCAGGACGGTTCGGTCCTCGGACGGTTCGGTACTCGGACGGTTCGGGCCCCGGACGGTTCGGGCCCCGGACGGTTCGGGCCCA